TTTTTTTTGTTTTGCAAAATTCATTTTCGAAAATGAGAAGAAGAACGCGTTTTCACCGTTTTGAAAAATCGAAAACAGAAAACAGCTTGAAAACGACAAAGAGAACAGATCCTAAGATTTCATTAACAATGATTTCTTGTAGTCAAGGGCATGTGTAACATAGGCCTACTCCGGCCCATTTAAGATTTTACTTCGGAGAAAATATGTAAATTAAAAAAATATATTTGATTTTATTTATTTTTTATGTATTAGTCTCATTTAAATTCTTTTAGTCCGATTTAAATTCTTTTAGTCCAATCTTGAATTTGTCCACGTTTGACAATGGTCAAACGGGGGCATCTAATCTAATCTAATCTAATCAGAATTAATAATGAAGTGTAATATTGTCTTCTTGACGAGCTCATGAGGTACATTGGAGACTAAAAAAAACAAAGAAAATTAGAAGTGATTATTATTCAATTTGACTATTTGAACAGATCATCTTAAAGGGCTTAAAATCAGATTTTTAGTAAATTTTGATAAATATTGTTGAAATGTATGATTGAAAAATTGTGGATCTTATAAAATGTGTGGTTAAAATTAATTATAAACTTTGACTTAAATTAAAATTAAAATTTTAATTTATACCAAATAGGAGCTAGTTTTTCAATGCTATTAAATACCAATTCATGTGTCTAATTAATAAAAATGCGTCATTTGCTACCGTCACATAAAAACTAATGTTTAACATCACTCGAGTTAAGTAAAAAGTTAATTTCTTTTTCAAAATATTTATTCTATTAAGGCATAAATATTACCTACATTTCATGACTTGTTTATATTTATTTTTAAATCATTTATAACACTTTAGATGAGAGAATCTTCAGGTGCAATCGCCCTATTAGAGTGCGCCACCTTGACGGGTGGCCCACCTCACACCCTCGAGGTGTGTGGGCCACTGTCGAGGTGGCACATCGGCATTGGGTGGGTACGTTACGTCGATGGTGCCTGCCCCACTAAAGATCCATCCCTATTAGACATGCTTATAAATTTACATTTTTCAGTGATAAAAGTTAAACAGAAGATTCTTCCCAATTAAACATGCTTATAAATTTACCTTTTTCAGTGATAAAAGTTAATTTTTCAAAAATGATCTTTAGAAAGTAAATTTAAGCCCCATTTTTTGAAAATAGATTTCGGAAAAAAGGTATTTTTTTTAGAGCACATCTCGGAGAAGCAATAGAGACAGTCAAGCTGGAGAATCATCAACAGGCTGTTTAAGAATTCCATAAGCGCTGAGAAGCTATAGTCAACTAAAACTCCTACTGCCAGCTGCTAAGAACTCAAGTTAGAACCTCGAATTAGCCCCAGTAGCCGAATACTTTTGTCTGTAAATACTGCATATTTTCTTCCTTCCATAAATTTATTTTCTTCCCTATGAGTTCTAATCTCAATAAGAATGCTAGTTCTTACTGTTCATATATTATGATATGAATATACCATACCAATTCGTTATGTATGGACGATGATAAAAAAATAAAAAAAAATTGAATTTACATAAAAATAATAATTTTATTGAAAAAATATGGGATTAAAAATGTATTTTGAAAAATAGGCTGAAATTTAGATTTTCTAACGACCGAACAGTGTTAGTATTTGAATGCAGTTGACACCGTAGTGACAGTTTTGACTTTAAGGGGAAAGTCCAGGGACAGTTTGGGAAGTGAAAATACCGAAATTTATGTCTTTGGACTCTGGTCGCGGTCACATGTATATAACCCCCGCCTGCCGGCCAAGATCTGCTATTAAACACACCGTCAAACTTTACTGCCCCATTCGCCGGTTACAATTATCTCTTTCTCACTCTACACTTTACTTCGATTATTTATGAGCTGATGCTTGATTTCAGATTCACATTACCAAATCTGTTCATAAATTTTGCAGCATTATCCAGTTTCGCCGATAATTTCGCTTCCTTTTCTCGTGCTGTAATCTCTATCTCTCTAGTAGGTGATTTTTTTCGAGGAATTATATTTCAATCTGCTTTAGGAATTTGTGATAATTGATTGAATTCACAATTTGAAGTTAGTGTGGTGATCTGTGATTCTCTCTCGCTCTCTCTATAGGTATCTTCACAAGCACGCGGTATAGAGGTGTAAACGATGTCTTCGAGGAATTTTCTTTTAATTTGCTATAGGAATGTGTGGTGTTTGATTGAAATTTACAGGTTGAAGCTATTGTAGTGATCTGAGTAGTGTGTGGAGTGAGATCCTAATTCTTTTGCACATGATTCCTCAAATTTTCAATCTGCTTTAGGAATGTGCGATATTTGATTGAAATTCACGGCTTGAAGTTAGCGTATTTATCTGTGAGTAGTGTGCGAAGTGAGATACTAATGCTTTTGTGCTTGAACTAGTTCATGTTTTATATATTTCAAAATTTCTTATTTCCTTTTTGTGATTGATTCGTGAAGGGACAGAAGTGATAGCTAATGATTTAATTGTATGTTTTAATTTTATTCTATAAATGAATGATTATTGTTATCGGTGTCTACAGCTTTTAATGATTTGCTCTGTGAATATGATTGGAAAAAATTGAATATATTGGTCTATTTGGTAGGTTTTGGGAATTTGAATTTAATATTAGGATTTTGGAATAGATTTTTGGAGAATGTTTTTAGTTCACAATAGGTATAGGTCGTGTTCTTATTGATTTTGTGGGTTTCCAACATCTATTAATTTTTTATTGGGATGATTTTCCTGTGTAAACTCCTTGTATGCTTCTTGAACTCCAATAAGTTACAATGGTTCTTGTATTTGTTGCAATATATAATCAGTTTATTTGTATGGTTAATATTCTTAGTATTTTACTCTAAATATATTTCATTTCTACTTACATTTGCATATATTTTGAAAGATGTGTTAATCAAATCCCTAGCCCAGACCAGACAAATATGAAAGATCTTACAAAATAGCTCTACTTAACTAGCCAATATAAATTTGTTATTAATTGTTTATCCTTCTTTTACAGGTATTGCACAACCTACCTAATGTCTGAGATGTCTTCCAAAGACATCAGGAACATACCTGAATCTGAGAGGATGAATGGAAGCTTTATGAAGCCTCAAATTGAGCACAAGGATGAAAATCTTGATGAAAGGCAAAAGAGAAGCATGACCTCCTTAGTTGGAATTCCAACTAAGATAGATGAAACTGCGAATTCGGGAGTTGAGGTGGGGAGTTCACAGGTGGAATACATTGAATCTGAGAATTTGAATGATGTAGATGATGTGGAGATATGTTTGAAGGTAGTACTGTTTTATTTACATGTGTACTACCATGATGACATCCATGTAAACATCTTATGTAGAATTTAATCGTGCATACTACTCTTGGATTTTGGTTTCAGACACTTTTGTCCAGACTAAGTTCCAAGGAATGGGTTTCAGTTTGTGAGGCACTCAATAATATACGCCAATTGTCAATATTTCACAAGGAAGTAATTCTTAGCATCATGTAAGTTCTGGTTTGTTTTGGTTCTTTGACTGGTGGTGTATTTTCTATTTGAAGACTATTGTTAATCACCTCTGAATTCTAATGATCAGGGGTGATGTGATCTCCTTAATAGTGAAATCCCTGAAAAATCCCAGAAGCGCTGTTTGTAAAACTGCAATTATGACTTGCGCTGACATTTTCAAAGCATACACGGATGACATCATTGATTCGCTGGATCCACTGGTATTTTGTTTTCCTTCAAATTCAGTTGTGATTTTACTCACATCATACTTTGAAGGTTCCTATCAAATTATTTTCTATATATTTTCTTACATGCATCTTTTTATCCCATGTTTAGCTTTTACAACTTCTTCTCAAATCTTCACAAGACAAAAGATTTGTATGCGAGGCTGCTGAGAGAGCTTTGATAGCACTGACTACTTCAGTTTCTCCTCTTCTATTACTGCCCAAACTGCAACCATATATTAAGAACAGAAATCCTCGAATTCGCGCAAAGGCTTCTATGTGCTTCTGCCGAAGTGTCCCACTGCTGGTAAGAACTTTATGTTATGTATTATATTTTTTCAAATCTTATTGTTCATTAAGTGGCTTGAATTAGTCTTTGTTTAGCAATAAGATTAAATGTATGTCACATGCTACGCAGGGAATTGAAGAAATAGAAGCATTTGGGATCGACGAACTGATTCAAACAGCTGCATCCCAGCTTGGTGACCAGCTTCCTGAGTCCAGGGATGCAGCTCGTACTCTGTTGTTGGAACTGCAATCTGTATATGAGAAATCTCATTTCCGTAAACCAACTGCAGTACCTGAGGACCCTGAGATAGCCTCGTGGGAGCATTTTTGTCAATCAAAACTTTCACCTTTGAGTGCTCAAGCTGTCCTCCGTGTGACCACTGTTTCCCGGGAAGAAATAGTTTTGGGTTCATAACATCCGTATATGCAGCAATGTGAGTTTTAATGAATTTTTGCTTGTTGGTTTTAATCTGGTTCGGTATTGGTATCATATACTTGTATATACCATCATGAAAGCTTCAGATGTTTGGAGTGGCGGTCGAATCATGTAGTCGAGCTATAGATCCTAATCTCTTTGGTATATGGTTGACATTCTATTGCTAGTTATGGATCGAAAATGAATAATCGGTGTATGCTTCGTTGTGAGGTTTAGCATTGTTACCTTTTTAATTATTTGTTACCTAGTCAATTGGCATGCGTATTATTGTGTTCTTCAACCAGAGTTTGTTAAAAGGATTAGGCCTTAGTTAAAGCTTTTCTGAACAAATAACTTCTGTTAACTGTTTTCCCTGCCAATGAGTTCATGAAAAAATTCATCCCACTGTTAGGGTTATCGTAAACTGTTGTTGGACATTAATTATGAGAATGTTCTGTTGGGCGGCCACGCACTAAGATATTTTTGAAAAATTAGAGGACCCCATGCTTTTAAGTTTTCATTATAAAAAATCAGGTAAGAACTTTTATTAAATTAGGTATTTTTATTTTTAAATTATTTAAGTAAAATTTTAAATTTCTTTTATTTTGTTTAGAATTTCGTTAATTGTGGTAATGTTTAGCTCACTTTTATTTTTTGAAATTCAAATTGCACAAAATTGGATTAACTGACCCTTTTTGTTGGGAATATTGGTTCCAAATCAGATTTTCAACTTAATAATCCTATATTTTCAGCGACTCAATCAACCAAAAATACTCTGTCACTTGGCCAAAAACACAACATCACAAATAGTAATAAAATGTAGAAAACGTAAATAACAAGAACACCAAAAATACTCACCCAATTCAGTTAAAAGCCTAATCTGGGGGTTCAAATGTAAACCAAGCCCATCACTAGTTCAAGAATCGAAAGAGAGAGTTTAAATTTAGAGTACAACAATCAAACCACCGATTAAACCAATCAGATGACGGATGTATAAAAGATCTCACAATATCTATACCTAATCGACATGAGACCAAGGCATAAGTGTAGACCCGCTCTTTACAGGCTTGAAAGCACCACAGACCAAAGGCCATAAATCAAGGCCAAGGTCTGGTTTACAATAAAAAGAACGAACACAAATCTGATTTACAAAGGTGAGAAGGTTAGAGAGAAGAAATCGATAGAGACTCAAAAGTCTCAATCAAGTGAACAAAAATTATGGAAACTCTTCACACGTCTATTGCTAACACAGAATTAAAACAAATCTCATTAAATCTCAGCCGTTGGATCAACACAATAGCCCAGATGAGTCCCAAAGTAACACAATACTGATGGAACAAAGACAGCCAATGGATGGGCGCCAAGTGGACGACAATGATGAAAGCGTTTTTCCACTTATGAAAAATGTGTTTTGGGTTTTAGAAATCACAATTTTACAATCTTTACTTGTTTTCTCAAACCCCTCACTCTCTCTAGTTGAAACAATGCATGTAATGGTAATTTATCCTATATCATCGCCCTAGGTACTTGCAAAAGATTTATCCATTATCAATATACGGAATTGATAAACAAGCTTTAAACTTACTAATTGAAAGCATTTTAATTTCCATATCATATAGACATTCAACAACATGAATTTTCTCAAGATTAACTTCACCTTAAGCTATCTTATCTTTTAGAAAATGATACCTCGTCTTAACATTGAGGGATAGCTTAGTAGTCAAGCTTTGAATTTGCTCTCCAATGGTCACCAGTTCGAGTCCTCTCAAGGTCACTGAGGTGAGTACCCGACTGTAAACTTCAGGGCCCCGTGGGATTAGTCGAGGTACGCGTAAGCTGCCTCGAACACCCATGGTCATAAAAAAAAAGAAAATGATAACCCACCTTGACTTAACCTCTCATGATGGACAAAATTTGTAATAACCAACAATACAATTTGACTAACAATGAGAGTAATAAGAGTATCATGCAGAAAATTCAAATCACACAACATGCTTTTCAACGAAATACATTCTTTCACAGATTTCAAATTTATACAGTTATTCCCCAACGTAAAGAAATAGGCAATATTGTATTTTCTTCGATCTTGTCACTCACAGAGTCAACATCCACATTCTTTAAGGAACAACCTATCAAACCTCTTCAATTTACAAATAATGTTCTTCTTTACCTCAAAGCCTTAAGGTTGACTCATATGGATATTTTCCACCAATTCTCAATGTAGGAAAGCAGTTTTAACATCTAGAGGTTCAAGTTTCCAAATGAATTGAACAACAAATGCTAAAATCAATCTAATCATTGTTTCCTATTGAATGATAAGGGAAAATATCTCAATATAGTCAAACACTTCGTTTAGTTTGTAAATCCATTTACATTGTATTGTTCTTTGACCATTAGGCAAATTAACTAAACTTCAAGTCTTATTTTCAATTAAGGATCGCATTTCTTCCTTCATTGCGTTATCCGGTTAACAGATTTAGACTCATCCATAGCTTCTTGGAAAGAATAAGGTTTTGAATGTTCCAGGCCTTTACCTAAAACTAAGGCAAATTAGTCAAATTCTTAGACTTGTATCTTGGATTGGGTTTAATTTACTCTAATCAATTTGTAATCTTGGATAGAATTCTCTTCAATTATTTGGGTGTTAGTTTCTGTTTCAATTTTACCATGAGGTACATCAATCTCATCAATCACAGGTTCATTCCCGTCAGATTAAGTGAAGTCATTTTTTGTCAACTTCACCTCATTTTGAAATTTCTTGTTAGATTCAATTTCCTCGAAATCATCATATTTGGATTTTAAACAAGGCATTTTAGATTCATTAAACACAAGCGTTCCTACTATTAATGATATTAATACAATGTTTTCCTAAAACCCACAACCTGTAACCTTTAACTCCCTTCGAATAGCCTAGCATAACACATCTAATATCTCTAGGCACCAACTTACCCTCAATTTTGTGTGCATATGCTACACAGCCAAACATTCTAATATATGTTAAATTTGGTGGCTTCCTAGTCCATAGTTCTTGAGGAGTCTTAAACTTTACAAAACTAGATGGAGATCTATTAATCAAATATGATGCTGTGCATAATGCCTTGGCCCAAAACCCCTTAGCAAGGCTTGAATTGACTAAAATGCACTTGGCCTTATTTATCAAAATCTTATTCATTCTTTTTGCAACCCTAATTTGTTGAGGTGTATACTTAACTGTCCTTTGTCTCATGATCCCTTACAAAAGTTATCAAATCCCATGCTACAAACTCTAGACCATTATCAATTCTTAGAGTTTTGAAGAAATTAACGATACTTCTTTATCTTTTGAGTTGTTCTGCCGAATTGGTAGCTCAAGATTTTTTAACTTCTTATCCAATTAGTTTTCCACAATTTTAAGTCAAGTCCAAAATTTATGAAAAGTTTCAGATTCAGCCTTTAAAGGGTGAACCCATACTTTGCTAGAGTAATCATCTACTACGGACCAAAAGTACTTCCACCAAAGGTGGGTTACTTTTCAGACCCCCACAAATCTGCATAGACATAATCCAAACGTCTATTAGTTGTATGTGAACCCATCTCAAAACTCACCTTGTGAGACTTTCCCAACAAACAAGTCTCACAAAATTTTAAACGTTCGATAAGACTTTTATCGAGTAACTTTTGATCACTTAGATTTTTTAAACATTCATTTCCTATATGCCCCATTCTTTTGTGACATTTTTCAGATTTATCATCAGTAACATTGAGAAGATTAACTTCTTGTGAAGCAATAACATCACCTTTCAGATATTTCAGATAGTACAACCCATTTTTCTTAGGTTCTTTCATTACAATTAGGGAACCTCGCATAACTTTTAGTGTATTATTTTGAGATTTAAAGACATGTCCTCATCCTCAAGGATTCCCAAATATATGAGATTCCTTTTAAGATTAGGGACATACCTTACATTTCTTAATTGATTGACAATACTATCATACTCGTTATGTCCCCAATATTACTAACAGTTTGATAATTATTATCACCCATATAAATCTTACTAGGTTCAACTTCCCTATATTTATAAAACCATGACCTAATGTAACTCATATGGGATATACACCATGAATCTAAAATCCAATCTTAACTAATGTTTTCACAAGACACAATCATGCAAGCTGTCCAATTCATTACCAACAGCAGCATTGTTCAATTCCATATCAGTTTGATAATTTTTTTTCCTTTTCTACTCAAAGCAATCCCTATTAAAGTGCCCTAGCTCCCCACAGTCGTAATACTTCTTGTTACTTTTATCTTTGGATTTAGATCCCCCATTTAATTTTCCTTTTACTTTCCTTACCTGAAAGTCATTCTCTCTTTTTTCACTTCTCCCTCTTACAAACATACTCTTTTCCCTTACATCTCTTGATTCCTTTTTAACTTCTAAATCTCTTGATCTTAATGCATCTATTACAATTGCTTGTGATAGTTTGTCCCTCGAGTATTTTATTGCATTTCTCACATCCTTGTAAGAGTCAGGCAGAAAATTTAATAAGATGATAGCCAAATCCTCATCATCAAATTTCTTCTGATTATGTGTAGGACTCTTCAAAATTATACTAAAATCACTTAGATTCACTTCTAAGTCTTTTCCCGGGTCCATCCTAAAATTAAACATTTCTCCGAAAAGCAAATCCTATTTGGCAATGTCTTAGTTAGGAATAAAACGTCAAGTGTAGCCCATAAATCCTAACATTCTTAGCTTCATCAACTTGTCTAACAATATGATCAGACAAATGCAAAATTATGGAATAGTATGCAAGCTTAATCATTTCCTCAATTTCAATAGGTTTAACTTTTAATCCAATAGAAAAAGTTTCAGGATCATTAAGGGCTTTAGCAACCATCTGTTGGATTAAAATAGCCATAATTTTTTGCTTCCATATCGAGTAATCACCATTTCCATCAAATTGTGACAATCTTACCCTTAAACCCATAAAGGATTAGTGAAAGGGTGGCGTGAACTTGAGGCCATTTTGTAATCTCAAATTCCCCAAAAATAAGTAGGAAAGGTTTTTGAAGAAAACTCAAGTTTTATAGATCAGTCAAGAAATTATTTCGGAATTAAGCATATGAAATGAAAATGTTAGATTCCAGTGAGTTATGTATGCTGCAGGTATGTGTGATAATCAACAATAACAAGTAATTCGTCAATTAAAAGTTATGCACTCCAGGTATGTGTAATACTCAAAATAACGTGTAATTCGTCAATTAACAGTTATGCAGTCCAGATTACAACACATATCAATATAGCATGCAACAACAGA